TCCACAGGACACTCCCTTGTGTGAAGCCTATCATCGTTAATCTACCAAAGCATGAAATTAAAGCAAGATCAACTTTGTGCCTTTAGGATCAGCCCACTAACTAGCCATAGATGTATAAAATTTTGCCATAATTTTTTAATTATTAGTTGTGTTGTGGGATCCCTGGGGCAAAGACTTTTTTTTCCCTAGGTGGATCATACAGAAGACAGTAGGGCTTTGGCGTTGAAGAAATCTTGTCCATGAAGACCAGAAAGAAGTACGAGTCCTCCTGGTACTGATTTTGACTGGCGTGAGGCAGTATGACCTACTTAGGGTCATCAGTCTATGGCTGATCTTAAATGCCATGCAGTTTTCAGCAGCAGGATGCATGCCAAAATTGTATAGAAATAGTTGATGCTGGCTTGCTGGCTAAGAAAGGGAGAGCTGCTGTTTCAAAGATGTTGACCTCAGTGAGATACAGCTCAAATGAGACAAGCCTTGAGACGATTTTTGGACCAGCTTTAAGGCGATACTCCCCAAAAGAGAACAGAAAAGCCCTGGAAAGGAAAGTCTGCTTATTTAAATCGTGGTGAGGGAGAGCTTTTGGGAAGGTGGGCTGCCAAATGAAGCACTCTGGATAATAAAAAATAGCTCAGGTTGAACTTTTAAATTTTTTCCCCAGGAGAAATGATTAATTTCTACTTTCAGAATGAAGAATCTGGTTATGTTTTTTCCCCCCTCTTCAAATCTCATGCAGTTTTAAGCAAGAAGTTCTTCTATTAAAACAAGCAAACAAAAAATTCAAAATCAGGGTTGGCTCTTACCCTGGGGACAGTGGGGTCCATCCCCACTGGGATGATCTTTCTGGGCTTTACCTCTCCCCATGCTGCCCCGGCAGCCGCGGCCCACGCCAGCGCCCAGCCCAGGCCCCAAACCGCCCTGCACGCCCCGCGCAGAAGCCACAGCAGGGGTTTGTGACCCCAAGGCTGCAGAGAGGGGTCTGTGACCACGAGGCTGACTGCAAAATGCTGTGCTGGAGAAAGTTAGAAGCTCCCCCAAACCCGTCTCTCCTGCGCTTTCGTTCACGAGGTGACTGGTGAGAATTTGTTGCTCATCTCTGTGCATGTCCCTCCCTCCCCACCTTCTATGATAATGCTGCATAAAGAAAATTTTTGTGTGGAAAACTCACAAAAAAAGCTGCAAGGTCTTTTATCAAGCTTTTTCCAGTTCTTACCTTGTTAGCATCAACCTGATAATGAATAAATTATACTGTTCTTACTGCACATTAATTATTTTTCTAACCCTACTACAATTTTTTTTGGTGAGGTTCCCCACCAGCTTTTCAGCACTATAGCCACCATTTGCCAAAAGGATTTTAAAAATGTGCTCTTGAAAGATTTTGACCTTTTAAAAATCCTCACCATCATTAGCACAAACCATCAAAAAACTTTTGTTTCTAAAATGATCTGTAAAATTGAATCAGGAACTTGCCCTTCTTTCCTCCTCCTCCTCCTGCCACCCCTAATGTGCCCTCTCCCACCCAGAGTTTTCGAGTTGCACCCTCTGCTCCGGAAAATTGTGGGTCCTCTAACCTGCATCCGCCTCTTGTGATGAGCAACCTGAAATCTGAGCCATTGGAGGTGGGATTTTATACCTTGGGCTTCTCAGATGGGCTACCAAAGAAATGGGGTCTCGGAATTTCACCCTTTGAAATCACACTTGGAAAACCAGAGCTAGGGCCAAACCTCTTCCCTGGGGATGCTGCTGCTCAGCGGCTGGGAGCCGGCTCTGCAAGCAAGGTATTTTTGGAAAAGGCCGATGGAAATGGGCAGATCACATTTCCTAGGGGTTTTATCTGGTCGTCCAAGGCTTCTGAACTGATAGGGAGGTTCTAGCCCCACGTGTGTGACCAAGCAGTTACCCAGATATCTCCCCGGGCAGAAAGCTCCAGCAGAGCTGTGACACCTGGATCAATAACTTAAGTGACTGATCAGCAATGTGCCAGGAGCAAGACCTTGCAACAAAAGTGATAAGTGACAAATTTGAGGAGTTTTACAGTACTAATGCTTGTTATTGCTTCTCACAAAATGTTACCAAGCTTACAATAATCTTTACACTTTCAGCAAAAATGTGAACAGTATATTTGAATATATTAAAAAGAATTAAAAAAACATTTCACAAAAAACATTTGTTGCCATATGAAAGTCTTTCAGCAATAAATGCCCACACCAGTATTTAAACATTGTTAAAAGTATAATGATTTGTACTAATAAATTATGCAACGAGAGGTAAACAAAATAAAATTACAGTATAGCTCTCCGTGTTCCTCCACTGAGCATCCGCAGCTCTCAGAAGCTCCGTTTTAGATGACTAATTAAGAAACTGATATTTTCAGAGCAACAAAAATAAAAGCTTTTATTTGTTCATTTGAATATAAAACAGGCGTTATCACAGATGTACAAAGCGTACTGGTGGTTTAACATACAAGAAGGTTGCTGTCCTTTGCACATAAAAATTTTTGTTTGAAACTGTGATTGGCTGAGTTACATGAATTTCTCTAACCAGTCACCACACTCTATGAAATAACGCTGCTAACATTCAACTGATAAAAGGGACAGTCTTCCCTTGGGTAAAGTGTCAAGCAGGATTAAATATATATAATAAACAAGCACCATGAGGAATCTGCTCCTGTTTGATTAGTTTTGTGTTTAAATGTTCATTGTGTACCCTCTTTTTTGTGCATGTGCATCAAGTTGATTACATGGTTTTGTCTGACTCCAAAAGCACAAGGTCACAAGACAAACATTTTATACATTCTCATGAATGGTTTATCTACAGTACAATTTCTAATACAGAACAATCCTTCTTTATTGCTCAGTCTGATGGTGCTTAAATGTTTCCTTCCTTTTGCTTGCACAACAAAACCAGAAACTCAGTTTATCGTTTCTCTTAACTCAGGATTTAACAACCACGGATGACAGGTTGCAGAAGAGATCTGTTATTAACTGCGTTTCACAACTGCATTGCAGTTCTTTTATTCTCTACAAATGCAAAGTTGACTTCGTGAAGGTTAAAGTGATGCTTTGAACGACAGCGAGATTTGTTTTGCAGTACTGAGATCAGCGATAGCAGGACTTCACAAGTTAGTTCACACACTGCAATTATGTTCGTAATCAATCAACATCTTGTCTGAAACCTTACAACAACTTGCCATTAAGAACAGATTTTATTCTTTTCAGGGAGCAGAAAATGAATTTGACAAAATATAGGATTGGTCTTCAGAGCATGAATAGGGCTATTCACAGGACAGTGAAGGCGGAGAGGATGGTCTGAAAGAAAATGCGTCTGACATGGCAAGATGCTCTGTACTGTACATGCAGACTAAAACGTCCCTACCTTTTAAAAAGATTTTAAACACCCAGCATCGAGACTCCCTTATAAGTGATATAAACATGATTACATTTGCCCTGCAACAACCTTAGTCATGCATATCCGGTAATGAGAGCCAGCACGTGAACGTCACTTGGGACAATAAGAAAAGCATTCTTGGACTGCAGCTGGTAAATCCCACTCGATCACAAACAGGTCAATTCAGTTACAACCACATGAAGGAAGGGGGAGGTTTTAAAAAAATAGGGGTGCCGGGTGCAGGGAAGACAACAGAATTGGGGAATCAAACCTCTCTTTTATCCAAAGGTAGTAAAATGAAGGCAGCTGTGATGCATGTTTTCCTACTCTTCTCCCGCGATGGCCTCAGATTGGAGACCGCGGGACGACTCCGTTCTTTAAACAGGCAGATCGGTTCCTCTGATGTTTTAATGCGTTTAGGGACTAGTTAGCAGGTGCACGATTCGTGCCAAACGGTTTGTAGTGACTGTACGCTCCTCTCTGTTAAGGAATAAATTAGAGACCATCGAAACAATCGTTTCCTGTAAATGTAAACTGGATGCATTGGCCACCGAGCTACGTGTCCTAGCTGAGAGGCAAATTGATAACTCTGTGCAAATAACCCCAAAACTTTTCATTATAGCAATAAAAACACCAGCTAAAACAATGAAAAAAATTGTGCAACAAAGTTCTGCAGCTAGACAACAGTGCTATTCCTCAACCTGCCTTTTCTAAGTCTAACAAGTGTATGCACATGCCAGCACGAATATTTATTGTTGCCTCCATGGCAAAGAAAAGAAAATTATTGTAGTGCATTTTTAGTCTTAAATTCATTCACTGCCTTAAAGGCAGCAATAATTCCACTTGCTGGTATCTAGAGGATTCTTTTCAACAGGGATACTTAGCAATCCAGGATTGCTTTTTTTCAAAAAATTTGTGAGTAACATTTGATTATCTACAGTGGGAGACACCATGCAAGTGACAAGTACTGCATTTTAAACTTTAAAATCTTTTGTCATTAGTGAATTTATATTTCATATATATATATTTGATGTGATACTATCCACTCAAGATAATACAACACTTTGTTTTTTATATTAGCAAACATTTCAAGAATTTAATATTCTTGAATGTTTCTTCTCTTTTATACTTCTAAAGAGATCAAAATAAATTAAACGTTTTGTACATAATTACAGAAGAAGTAGTTAACTTATTTTATCTTTTTAGTTTAGTACAAAGATATTTGCAAGTTCATTGCCGAAATACACCTTATTTATAAATTTATTCCATTCTAATGCTAACAGCAAAGGCTCTTTGGCCTTTGGGCTTTCAGCATCTCCAACAGAAAGCTGCAAGATTTCTAATTGAAAGGTGCTACTTTGGGTATTCTCGTCGTACCACTACATAGTTTCCTAACATGTGGGACCTAAAATGGCTTAAGTTAGTAATGGATCTGTATTCATCAGCTTTTTATGACATATTAGAACAAATGAAGAAAACAATTATTTGTATTAGTATGCAAATTGTTTTAAAAGAATCCATTTGGAGGGCAGAATAAAGAAAAATCTACTTCAGCTTACTTAATGTAAAATACAAAGCCACATTTACTCAAAAAGCAGTATTGTCCAATAAGCTAAAAAAAAAAAGTTTAAAATGGGCTTTTCCAACACACTGAAGGGCCTTACCCCATAGTCCTTCTTTTCTAAAATTTAGTGGTAAAAGAAAGCATTTCACATTTTATTTCCTGCCAATCATGACTGCTTTGAAAAGTCGTAATAGAAACAGTTCCATTCTGATGAGTGTCAGCATCTTATCTGCACACTTTTTTAGTGGACACCAAAAAATTTTATACATCTATGATAAAGTCCATGGAAGCTTTAAGGTACAAGACTACATGTTGTAGGCCACATAGATGGGATCTAGCTGGTCTGCCAAAAATCCATCTCGTAGGTGCATACGTTGTTTCTCTCCACGGGAGTTGATAGGAATTACACCAATGTCCACAACCACCACTACCCCTACAATCAGATAGTGTTCCTCCAGGACCACGTTGGTGACCAAAGGAACCAGGTCCAAAGCTTCTTGCTCCGATCCATCCAGCTCAACAACAACGACCAATAAATTTGTCCAGGTAAACACCGCACTGGAACGAAAGAAAAAATAGTATTAGTCGTGGGGTCTTTCCTACCCATTTCATTTTTTGTCCTTTTCATTCCACCTTGGTTACCTTTTCTTTCAACTCCTAGGGCTCTTTCTGTATGCTCACCACAAAGCATAAGTAGCAAGAGAGAACATGTCTGCAGGCAGGGGAAGAAGAAGAGCCCCACTAGCTCTCACTTTAATATTGCCGCAATATTAAAGGGCTAAACTTTACAGAAACTCAAGTCTGATCCTTGCCTGTCATGTAAGGAGGTAGTAGGACAATGTGTGGTTCCCTCTGAAGCCAGAGAGCTGTCACAGCACTGCTGCGTTCATGAAGGCACGCATGAGCTATGTGTGGGCGGAGGTGTCTTCTATTCTCAGAAGAGCAAAGGAGGTTAAAAGAGGAGACAGTGATACAGCATCAAAGAAACACCTAGTCATAGTCCAAACGGAAAGATCTTTGGTATAACTCTGCCTAGCAAAGGGTGCGCAGCTCTGGGAAGGTTCACATGACATACTGCAGGCTGTGCAGAGGTCCTGGGGTGGCTGGGGAGGGGTCTTCCTCGCTTGCACAGTCCTAGGCTAACATGGCTACGTGCCTTCTGGACTGGGCTGGCTGCTATCGAGGCAGGTCAGAGCTCAGCACAGAAGAGCTGCAATTCTTCTGCACCAATTGGTTTATACACAAATAAGCAGTGTCTCCATCTGTTTTATTTGGGCTGTGTTTTATTTCTGTCAGGTTTAAGGGACAGTAGGTTTTACATTTCTTACTAACAGGTGAGATGGTCAAGGGAACATCATTATCACTTGTATCTCCTCTTTACTAAAAGAAATTTGTACCCCAAAATTTTGGTTAAACCCTTGAGCTGAGGCAGGTAAATTTGGGTTCCTGCTACCGGGCATCTTTTCTGGATAAGGGTAATGCATTTATCCTTCCACATATGGAGGCTGGGAGAGTATGAAAGTCTGGTGTATGCTCTCCTCTGTCCTCCCCATGTCTCAAATGCCTCCAAAGCCTCTGAAGTCTCACCGGAGGTCAGCAGGACCGAGGGCCTCATTCTTCCTTGCAGATTTTTAAGACACAGACAATGGTTATTTCTTCCTCTAACTTATTCCATAGCATAAAATAATATTCTACAAATGTAACTCATACATCAAGCCCTGTACTTTACCCTCCTTTACCTCATAAAACCAGGCGATAATTTCCCAGAATTGTCATGAGCATAAGCATCTGCAAGTTAATGTATTATGTATGTAAGCCAACTTCAAAAAAAGCTACCTACCCTACGGTTAAGCTTGACTGAGACAGAAGTGCACTGTTTTAGTCTACTAAGACAATTCTGAAAAACCGTGCACTTTGGAAACATATCTTACTTTGCCAAAAAGTTAGCTATGAAAATGTGCTCTATGTTGATGCTTAAGAGAATGAATTTTAGGAGAAAAGCACTTACTCTTAAAAAAAAATAATCATTTTCAGATCCTGCCAAAGTCCAGGTTGAATTCTTATGTGCTTATTGATTTGGAAAACTAATGGGCAGCCAAAGCAAGCCTGTGCAGGCTCCTTTTGACTTAGTACTGCTATTAAATGAATTTTAATTTGTTATTATGTTTTCACAGACATTCTAGTAAGTTTTGTTTAATGCGGAATATTAACAAAATGAAGTATTGGTTTGCACAGGTGACCATCTCCAGTGAGGTCCTAGAATTTTTATGGATTGCTGTACAAACATTTAAATTACAGAATCATAGAATCATCGAATCATTAAGGTTGGAAAAGTCCCCTAAGATAATCAAGTCCAAATTAGTATCTAAATTAGTATTATATATGTTTTAACAAAAAAGCCTGGGGAAGTTTTATTAGAAGGTAAGTTAGCACTTGAAATCATGCCTTAAACCTACTGCTAGTTTGTTACTTGGGAAAGCAATTAATGGCAAGATTCAGGAGCAGGGCCCTAAAACATAGCTTAGGAGAAGTTAGCTTATCTGAGTTCAGAAGACTGATTCCCAAAGCTTTCATGAGGGTTCTATTAATCCCTACAGTCATCGACACTCCTAAGAGGGTTTCAATTTGATTTAAAACTCATTTCGTATGTCACGATTCTAACAACTCACTGGTGACCACTGTAAGTACAAGGAAATACTGCCCTTTATGTTCCCACCAGTTGAGTTGAAGATGTACTGGCCAACATGTATCACTTATGAATATATTAACTTTCTAACCCTGATGAATAAAAAAACCCAAAACCACAAACAAAAAACTAGGGACCCAGAAAGGCTGCACGTTCTCAAGAAATTATGGAGTCACACCCAACAGATGCAACACAGTCAATGCACTGAGCTGGGAATGTCCCCTCCTGCTGCTTCCATCCCACCAAATGCTTCATGAAAAACAAGAAAGTTGTTGAAACATCTCCAGAGAAAGAGGTCCATACTGGTTTTCTTCTCCAAATGTCTTGTGTAGCTTTACCTATTTGTCATTATGCAGAGAGACAAAACCACTTCTTAGGAAATTCCAGGAAGCTACGTTCTGTTCCTCTTTCAAGGGTTTGAAGTTTAAATGAGTCAACAACGTGCTTTAATTAAAACATATACACATACATTATTTCTCAAGATACTCTGCAGTATTAAAAACACTTTCAAAAATGCCTGATGTAGTTATAAATCACAATAAAAACAGACTGTTCCACTCTTTTGCTTGTTATGTATGGAGACATGGGAAGTCTGGAGTTAGAAGTTGTTGATTTTGTGTTAAAATTTCTCAAGAGACAAGAATAATTTTAAATGACCTTTTAGATCAGATCCTCAATGACAGAGTTGCACAGCAGCATCACCTGTCAGTCAACAAGTCACCGCTGTCCTCAATAGTGTTAAATGTTACAAAATGAGCATGTGTTTCTGGGAGGTTGAGGCTATTGACTGGACATACCAGTACCTTTTGTTTGCAACGGGTATTGATGCAGTTAAATCCTCAATGGGTCATTGAAACCAAAACAACAGTGGCCTCCAACAAGAAGGAGGCTCATGCCCCCATCCAAAGAAAGGTAAAGTATATTTAAAAAGAAAGATTTAACTGGCTGTTATTTTGTCAAGGGATGTTCCACAAAGACAAGAGGAGGATCTCTAATAGACGATGAAGGAGAAGTGAGAGAAGTAAAGGACAGTGAGGACTAGGACTATGAGTGAAAACTCTATGATGGTGGCTTGAGAGAGCTATTAGGCAGAGCACTGGTTAGGAAGAAGTTGGGAACTGTGAGCAAACCAGACGTTGTCGCTCTGAACTACTGTGTGTCTGTGCAGAGACCACATCAGAGAAACATCTAACTCATCAGCAATCTCTCTTCTTTAAGGGAAAAAAAAACCCTGAAGACTTTAAATCTTGGCCTTTGGGCAAAGGGTAGTAATATTACAGTGTGTTTTCTGAAATCTCACTCATGTGCCTTTTACATTATCACCCAAGTACTGGGAAGGGTTAAGGCACTGAGAATTATGTGCATGTACTTCTACCTTCTGCAGACACCCAGTGGCCTTTTTCTTTGATCCTCCCAGCTTACCCTAACCCTTTTTAGTTGCCACTATCCCACTCAGGATTTCCATGATAATGGAAGGAAAAGGATCGTCAAAGTGCTGTCAGTGGTCTTGCATAATTTACACATTTCTGGCCACTGAAACCCATGATGACCATTTCTGCAGTGTGATATGGCTGCTTCATCCACTGCCCATGAGTTCACACTTTGAGGACACACAAATCTCTGACAAACAGGTACTGCTGAACACATCAATTTATGAATCTGTGGCCATCTTATAATAGAGCTGTCCCTAAATAGCTTGATCTGAAAACTTTCCATCCACTGCTGATATTGATCTGACACATTTTCAAGGAGAATTTCACAGCATAGCATCCTTAAAGTGTTCACACTAGTCTAAATGAGGACACAGAATCTGCCAGCCTGTGTAATGGCTAGCTGGCACAAGACCATACCAGCAGTAATAATGCTCTACGGAGGAGGCAATAAGGCAAAACCTCAGTTACAGTCAGCCAAGCGATTAACTGCCTTAATTTGAACAGACATTTAAGAAAAAGGCAAGGTGTTTTGACTAAAGAAACCAGTGCAGTTGCTGTGCTTCGTTATTAAGTTTACTGCTCCAGGCCACATCTTTGCAGCCAGGATTGAAGAGAAAAATGGAGAGTCATGTCTTATACTTGCTAAATTACTCTGGCTGTTGCGACAGGTTCATTTTAGTTAAAAGGAGAAGAGCTGAGCTGAGGTTATATCAAAACAAAACAACTACCTGAGTCAGTCTTTTGATGCAAGAATAATGAAAAGCAATTTGTTCTCCTGTCGGCCTCAAGAAATGATTACCTGCTGTGTGCATGTGATGATGTGATACATTGATTAAGACAACATCATTATTAACTCATTGATATACTGTTTCAATTTCCATTGTGTCCTTGATTTGATCACTGCTTGATTTATTAATAACAAATTCAAAAGTAACAGTGTGTTCACTAATAGAGTTTATTAGTGTGTTCATTTATTTGAAATGTTTGCTGGCTTACTCCTTATAATAACAATACTCCTAAAGCTTGAACTCAAACCAGTTTGCTTTTTCTGGTTGGAATGTAAATCTCAAACTCCAAGAAACAGCTACTGACCCACCTGTGAGCTGCTTGGCTCTCTCAAATTAAAAGCTTAATCCTCCACTTGTACTTAAAACCACACAAAAAAAGAAACCTAGTGAATGATCTTAACAGAAAACAGTCCTTCCTGATTAAATCTGTTTGTGAAAAGTTTCATCCTAAGGACATATTTACAGCTGGGTTATAAATCCTGTGACCATCCTGACAGGCCATTTCCTGGATCAATTGCAGTAGCCAGGAAAAAAACTCAGACATTATAGATATTTCAGCTTTATATAAGGGCCCTGGTGTTATATAATCCTTACCATTCTGTGATGCTCTTGTGTGCTCTAATTACAGAGGTTTCAATATCGATCGGATGGTATCTCATCCCTCGTAACTCCATGGCTTCATCTAATGCACCCACAACATAAAGTGCATCATGGCGTTCTGGTTTTAAGGAAAAAAAAAAAAAAAGATTCCATTCTCCAGTACATTAAATTACAAAAATGTTCACCATAATAAGTAAGTAAAATAAGTATAACATTTATAAGTTATCCTCAAATTTCTGAAACCCTAAAGTGATTTCTGAACTAATGAGAATTTTCCATTACTGAAGTGCAATGCAGAGCAAAAAGCAGAATAAAGGAAGGCAGAAACACTACTCCCATTTGAAGAAGAGAAAGTTGGGAGTCTTCATCCAAAGACAGAGGTATAAATTCCTGTTTTTCTCCCAGGTGGATGCAGAACAGACTCATTCTTTTTTAAGGTGCCCTAAACAGACAATAGGCTCCTTGTTTCTCTCTCTTGCTTTTGAAAGAGAAAGGAATGGATGGATTTGACCCTAAAAGTATGGGTGATGTTCTTCCAGTACCTTGACATGGTCAGTACTGATGCTTAAGGTGTATTACAAAGGTGTTTATAAACTAAAATACGTGCTATGTGCCAGATAGCAAATTGCTCATTCAGACAAATGGCAAGCTCTGAGGCATAATGCTCTTATCCTACAAATTTTTACTCACTAAAGAAATAAATGAGGCTGAAATGACACTTTTAAAAAGATATTAGGCTGATAATGAATGACTGCATGTCCTCCATAAAGAAATAATATTCACTAATAGACTTAAAAACAGATAACTGGCTCTTTTCACATTAATTTAGATAGTTGCACGGTGGTAATGTAATGGCAATATAACCTCTACCAGTAATAATGGGCAGAGAACCTTCTGCACTGGGAGCTAAAAGTGAGAGGAGAACGGAGACTTAGCAGCTCTTTGCCAGGAGAAGATTTAAGCCATTTGGATGCTTCAGTTACAACATCCTCAGAGAATCCTGAATTCGCTCAAGGCTGGGCTATCATTATGAAATGAAAAAAGCCTGTGCAACCGAAAGTCAATGTCTTCAGGAAGATGCTAATGTCAGGACACAAACAGCAGTCGTAATCCACAGTGATTACTAAAATGCTTTGAGATTTGATGAATTCATTCTGTGGCTGAATAGTGGCTATTCTAACTGCAGTGGCACGGGGGCCCGGGGATCGCCGGGAGGTGCTTGCAGCGCTGCCAGCAACCTTACTTTGCCAACAGCCTCGACTGCCACCTCAGCCAGCCACCGCTCGTGGCACCGTGCTCAGAAAACACCACAGGAAAGTAATGTTTTCCCAAGCAGAGAATGCGTGTGCCTGGCAGCGCTGCTTTGCTTACGTGTGTACATGAGATAAGCAATGTCATAAAAACAAATAATGAAATGCTGTACGTTCCCAACAGTAAACCCAAACACCCTGTAGCTTCTCCTGCAGGCTACTGCTTGTATCACATTTCAGTAACCGTCCCCGCAGGTTTAAAGACAGGGAAATTTGAGAAATGGACAGCTTCTGTAAGTTTGTAATAGAGGAATTATCAAAGAAGGTGGTCATCACAGGAGGGACAGGGCTCAGACTGACAACAAGACTTTTTCTATCTGCCCAAATTTCCTGCGGATATGACTGCGAGAACAATTGGTGGCATTTTAAGCTGCATTTTGTGTTTTTCAAGCTGAAGCACTTGGCACATTAACAATGCCAACAAGTCACTGGTGGAGGGGCTTTATAGCACTGGAGGTATGGCAAAGGAAAAGCAACTTTCAGAAGGGAAATCTTGCCCTCTGTTTTATTTTTTTAAATTATTTTAACTAAGGCTTTTTTGCAGTTCTACAGGTTTCACAGGTGGAACACGTCAGGTAGCACAGGCCAAAAGACACTGTGTCAGCCTCAAAATAATCCATATTATGTGCATAGACCTAGATGATGAGAAAGCTCTTACCTCCGTTTGCATCTGTGAGTTCTGTTCTTCTCAGGAACCCCAAATAGCCAGTTCGAGCCCATATAGTCTGTGTGTCTCCAAAGCTGAGTCTTGAATTAAAATGATCTGATTGCAAAGATTCATCTCCATAGATGGTAAAATACCCACTGGCATTGTGAGTGCTGTGAACCCATATCTAAGTTAAAAGCAATTATACTGGTATTAATTAAAGTAGCTTTCCAGAATGAATCATTATTTAAAATTCTTGATGCAAATAATTTTAGTCATAATGATACTATGATGCTTTTTAAGACTGTTTCTGAACCCGTAACTGACCCAGTTTTAGGCACAGAGACCCCAGTCTAACCTCGCTGAAGTCGGAGCGCGGATCTGAGCCGTGCCTGGTGGAGAGGGACGCCAGACTCACGGCTGCGAGGCACACCTGCCTTGCAGCACTCTGGCCCCAGGTCAGCCGGCGACCTGCACAACCTCCTTGAACGGCTCAGCTAGCTCTGAGGTCTGCTTGGTTATGGCAATTTTCAGAAAGGCCTATAAACCACAGTGCTCTTTCCATAGTCCCCCAGGTTCAGTGTATTTACTCCAGCAGGGCATCCTCCATGAGCACCAGACAGATTATTTTTAAGGGTGAGACCAGGGACCTTCACTTACGGAGAAGGATGCGCTTCATCTAACTCAAGGCATCATGGAAGTTTTTACGATTTCATAGTAATGAAATCTTACAGATGAATCTCACAAATTAGATTGTAGTTTTAATCCTGACTAAGCAAATTCTTCATTTTGTTAATTAGATCTTTAATTTTTCATTGAAAATAACATTTTTTTCTCTCTCTAGAAACATAAAATAAATTGGAAAAACATATAGCCTTGCTCAACTCCGCTAATGAGAATACTTCAGTGTGTTGAAGCACAATGATTATAAAGAGAACAGCACTAGAAAACCATCTAGCTGAAATTAGACTAATCAATAAACTTATTTTTTCATGTAAGTTTCCATCAGAATTACTGAAGCACCACGTAGAAAATACAGTTAGAAAAAGCAGATTTTTGTTGATTTTTTTAACAAACCTGAGCTATTATTAGTATTTATCAAGTACGTTACTAACAATTTTAATGATACAGATGTCATGCCACATACTTCATATACTATTAAGATCTGTAGAATTCACAATTTTCTTAACTGGGCATTTGATAAGACGTATTATAGGAAGCCACTGGCATATATGATATAGCTTTATCTCTGCAATTTAGTTCAGAGCATACAAAGGTTAAGTTTTCACGACTCACCTCACCAAGATGAGAATCTCCTAAGGGTCCCTTTGTTTCTGGATTAGCAATAATGATGCGTACTCCTGGGAGGATCTATTGAAAGAAAACATGAGGCAGTAAGAAAGCAGATACTGCTTATGCAGTCATCCCTGAAAAACCTTAATTAGAAACGAAAAGAAATCCTTAAAAAATTAAAGTAAACTTATAAAAAATTAAAATAGTCCATAAATGTAATAAATTCTGAGATATCCGGGAAATGCTACAAAACCTCATCTCTTTGCAAAGCGATCATTAAAATCATTTTTAATGATCATCATCATTAAAAACTCCTCAGAAATCAAATGTTCACCTACAATACAAAAATCCTACCGCATGGCCCAAGTCTCTAGAATGGCCCTAATATACATTAGAATAGCAAAAAACAACCACCTAGCCACGTGAGACTTTGGCCCGAAACAAAAAGAAAGCCAGAGGCACCTCCCCAGAAGGAGGCCCTGCCAATGACTTCATGTAATGGACGTTCACCCTGCCATAGAAAAGGGAGCGTCCTCTGACCACGAGAGCTTGCAAAGCTATGGTCAGAAAGCTTTAGATGAACATCCACAGCGCGAAGGGCAGCCAGTGAGCAGGGAGTGCCTCGGTGCCGCAGCGATGGCACCTCTCCTTTCTCCCAAAGGCAGTGCACGCTTAGCAGTAGACCTCAGTCACCGGCGCACGGCCAGAGAGCGCAGCCCGGGACAGAGCAGAGAGCAGCACCCCGTCTCTGCGTGCCGGTCCTGTGTCCGCATGTCGTGGTTTAGCCCCAGCCGGCAACTAAGCACCACGCAGCCGCTCGCTCACTCCCCCTCCCGCAGTGGAACGGGGAAGAGAATTGGGAAAAAACTCGTGGGTTGAGATAAACACGGTTTAATAGGACAGAAAGAAAGAAGGAAACAACAATGATAATACCAACAAAGGAATGTACAAGAACAAGTGATGCCCAATACAGCAATTGCTCACCACCCCGTGATCGACAGCCTGTCCCCGAGCAGCGATTTCCACCCCCCGGCCAACTCCAGTTTATGTACTGGGCATGACGTCGTATGGTAGGGAATATCTCTTTGGCCAGCCTGGGTCAGCTGTCCCGGCTGTGTCCCCTCCCAGCTCCCCGTGCACCCCCAGCCTGCTCGCTGGCAGCCCAGCACAAGAAGCTGGACTGTCCTTGGCTGCTCAGCAGCAACCCAAAACATCAGCACACTATCAACAGCTTCTCATCCCAAATCCAAAACACAGTCCCGCACCAGCCTCTGCGAAGAAAACCAGCTCCATCCTGGCTGAAACCAGGACACCGCACCCTGTCCCCAGAGCCGTGCCACCCACCCAGACCGTCCCTCTGCAGGGGATATGAGCACAGCGTAGGTAATCTTGCACCAGTTCTCCGTGCAGCTGGGTCTACATCAATAAAACTGTCATCACCAGTGGCACATTTGTTGGCTGTTTCAAGACTGAGATGTGGAGGATGAAATACCTTCTTTTTGCATAAAACAAGAAATGCTTTTTGCAGAAAAGTGGGAGGTACAGCTTCTGAGGGAGGAGTAATGCACTGGTTACCACCATTGTACCATAACCTCAACAAAGAAAGGTCTTCGGTCTGCACAGCTGATAAAGCCTTTCTCAACACTACATTCACGTAAAAATGAACAGAAATGGAAATATACAGAAAATGTTTATCACAAAAGGTACATTTAAATCTTCTTTCAGTACTTACTTTTCCTGACTCCATGAGGGGCAAACTATGTGGAGATCCTCTTTCAACTAAACGAACTCTGTAAAATATATGTAAAAATAATATGCATAATACATGGTTGTGTTTATTTGCTTTTCATTAACATTTATTTCTAAAAAGAATGGTTAATGGTCGCAGAGATTAATGTTATTTTTGGAACAGATGAAGCTTATATCCTGTAGAACATAATCGGGCCCAATATTTAATCTTAGTCAAGAGTTACAACTGGGAAAATAATGAAAAAAAGATGTGTGTGAATGTTTTCTTAAATATTAAATTCTTCAAATGTAGTTGGTGCCTTTTATTTGGTTTTGATAGACTTTTGTAAATGGAATTCCATGCACAAATTTATGCACAACAAGAGGAATCTAAAATATTGATTTCCCACAAGAACATCATAAATGCCACGGTACAGTCACAAAAGCATGTGAGCTGAGTGAGCAACCACATTCCACGAGTAGCTAACAGTTAAAATAAAAGTCATATCAAAATAACTCATAACCTGGCCTCAGCTTCAAATCTGCATTTGCAATCTTTTAATTATTTTCAATAGACAGTAGTTGATAAACATTTTAATATTAAAAAAAAAAAAAAGAAAAATGTTTACTGAGGTCAGACCCTTTCTCCGAGTGTGGCTTTCTGGTCCTCTCTCTTCCTTTCTTAGATAAATTATTTTCCCACTACAGGAACAGAAATGGCAGCTCTCCTTCAACGGTATGATGGGCTGGAAGGGAATTCCTCATTTAACCTTAAAAAAGTACTCAGCAGGTTAGAATGAGAGAGACTTTAAAGTCCTAAAATAGCTGATGATCTCAGCCAGTACACGGTGAAGATAATTTGGTAACATCTGAGCATTCCTGTATCCTAAGTGAGATACTTAAAAGCTGTAACAGCCCATGAAAACCTTAAACTTCCCACTTCTGAACATTTTTCATAATCTACTTAACCAATCTAAATCTGGATTTCTGTCGAAAGAGTTGTTCTTACCCCTTTCTTCCCCTCAGCTCTGTGATTAGAGAGAAAAAAAACACCACAAGATGCCTAAAAACCAACCCTGTAAAAGGTAAAGATGAAACATCAAAAGAGAGGAAGGCAGAGCTTGGAGTGGATGGGTGGAGAACTGGATCCGGTTAAACTGATCGTAAAACTGCAGTCTGTTAGGAGCAGTCACGATAGATCTTTTTTGGACTGTTTTGAGGTCTTTTTATAGACAGAATACTGCAGTGCTCAGTTTCGGAAAGGAAGGATGAGACACAGAGAGACCTCAGCTAGAGGTCCCTTTGGAGAAGAAGAAAGCTTTGGCAAGTTCAGCCCCTAAACATAAGAGAGATGGAAAAAGATATTCCTCCTTTTTTTTTTTTACTATTTCTTTGCTCCAGAAGTCTTCTATAAAAGCTGGGACTGTCAAGGTCAAGGCAGGAATAGTGAATAGTATTTTATCTGCAGTTCTGGAAGTGTCTCAACCTTGATGGACAGGGCAGGGCTAAGCCCTGAGGCGCTGCACAGCAGTGCAAACAGTTCCTTGCACTAACAGCAAGAAATATAACCCAAATACCCAGCGATGTCAGAGTGCTTCTCTGAATCACTTTGAGAGGAAAAGGAGGGAAAGTTCCCTACAAGGGGCACTGCCTGGAGCAGGCACAGCTAGGAAGCGGCAGCCTGACCTGCTCTCCTGCAGGGTGCGTTAATAGGAACCACCCTGCAGTGTGGTTCAACTGCCACAAAACTCCCGGACAGAGCCTGTTGCTCTACTTACCACTTCTGTGTGTTACCTTGAATTTTGTATTGTCCTTACTGCTCTCAAACCTCTGTTGTATTACAGGCATACACACGTGCCCCTGTTTACTACATCATTTTCTGCTGAGCTTCCCGCCAGCTGAAGAGCAGTAGGGCCACCGCTGGCTTCACAGCAAGAGAAGTGAAGCTGCAACATCCATCTGTTCAACCAGGGCAGCAGAAACCCAGGCCACAGGAACTTCACTAGAAGGTGTACATGCACGGCTAAATTAATGCTACTCTATAAAGGGTATGCCTACATAAGCCACACGTGCGTCGCTGTTCAAATCGTAAGCTAAATCATAGGTATTTAGGAGTACGTAGCAAAGGCTTTAAAAATAAACCCGTGCATATTGAACAAAAATAATGTATTGCAAAACCCAGTTGTTACTAATGCCTACATTTCTGCCTTTTTATATATCTTTGTTCTGTAAAATCCATATTAGTGTAGAAATAGCAAATGCCTTTAACTGAGTTCTTCCAAACAACTGATATCTCCGATCTTTAGATATGTATTTGCAGACAGGTAGCCGTTCCTACAAGAACTAGTCATCGTCTCAACCACTTGGTATGTCCTTTAACAGAGCTAGCTAATTTATTTACCAACATTATTTATTTATTTACCAACATTATTTACCAACAGACATTACCAACATAAATAGATTTAGTCTTAAAAAGGAGACAATTGAAAAGACTTCAGCCATATGCAGTGGTAAGAAAGATGGCATAACAAAGGTCTGGAAATACTTAATTTGAGTTTAAGGTTGGTTCAAAACCAACTTGGTTTGGATAACAGTAGCAATAAACCCCTGGGGCAGGAAAAGAGTATGTCAGAGCTGCCCACAGATTCTGTTGGCCTTTGCTCCTTACCTGTTATTAAGATATGCCTCAATGAAGTGTTGCTGAACTCCGGGCCTAGCAGAAATCACATATAATAAAGCTATACATTCAATAGCCAATGAAGCGACTACTGGAAATGAATCAACATTCATAAATCCGACCATCTCTTCCCTCTTTGCTTTCAGCATCTGTGCCTCCCACCTTGTTCTTATTATCACTAGCATATTCTTCTAGTTCCCTTCTCCACCTATTTCCTTTAACCTCGTCTGATTTTTTAGCACATGCCGATCCAGAAGGCGCAATTTCGCAGTTTCCAATTCTGTTAAACCTCTCCCACTCTGTGCTTTCCACCTCACATCCCTACAGAGTTATTACAGCAGCGCGCTAAACATAGAAACAGCTTCTCCTGGAGGTTTTATGCAAGGGCCCTGTTAGTGCTCAAAAACTTGGATTCCCTTTAAAAAAGTTTCTGCTAAGCTCACAAACCATTTGGGAACATGCTGTAAAACCTCTAACAACTCTGAAATGATAAAAGATATTTTGCCACAAAGAGATTTCAAAAAAATAGAAGTAAAACATTAGATTCTGATGTTACTGACTCCTGTGTGCATACTTAATTTTAAATGCGTAATAGTCTTATTAACTCTGCTGGGACTAGTACTGTGAATAAATTATGGACATTAGGCAATAATTTTTAAAAAGCGTTTTACTG